GGGGGCGCCAAAGATGACCCAAATATCCACATTCTTAAAAGAATCCACCCCCCCCATCCCCCATCCCCCATGGCAGGAGAAACAGTCAAGTTTTTCCTGCCCATCTCTCAATGGCTCAATCGCATCACTCTCCCGGCAACACCGTAACAAGGAGCAACTTGCCGTTTGGATATATCCTAGCTGTGTTTGTGCCCTCACTCATGGTCCAGACTTTTTTCAAATAGGACATGTAGTTTGTCTGCAGCGAGTGTTTTGGTAGAAACTGCGCCTCCCATTTATTATAATGGGAAATGACCACAGACAAGTGCGCACACCATCTTTGGACCTTGAGTGTGACGCGATCGGGGGGGGGAGGCGGTCGCGCTGGGGGCGGCGCGACGCGGCTCGGGCCCGACAGTGCCCCACCGGGGCCCTAGTGTTATTATTATTATTTTTCCTCCCCTTTGAACTGGAAAATGGCCCACTTCCCACTGGCAAAAACTCATGAAATTTGGCAGGACGACCGGGCCTGGTGAAAAATTTGATATTCCGAAGTCGCCCAAACAAGAAAATGCAAAATGGCTCCATAGCGCCCCCTAAGGTGAAAATTCACACTATTGACTGTCACGCGTGTACGCTTTGTCAAAATGACACAAAAATTGACACACACATGTATCTCAATAAGATCTACAAAAAAGTCAGTGCGGGCGTATCTGTCAAATGTACGGTTAAAGGGTTATTTCGCATTATTTGCCGATCTGCACACATTGGAATTTCGCTAACTCCTCCGAAGGCTTTCGTTCCACCGGCACCACATTTGCTCAGGCCAATCTACACCCCATGGCCATTAAAAGTTATTCAAATCATGATGCTGCACCCCACGGTTTAGGTTCTAGGGGGCGCCAAAGATAACCCTAAGATCCACATATTTAAAAGTCTTATAACTTTTTATTTTTGCCCTCACTGGCCTCCAAGTTTTCTAGGATGATGCAATGTCCAGCCATCAACACATTTGTGAAGGAATTTTTACTCCCCAAAAGAGCGCCCCCCCATGGCAGGAGAAAAAAGTCCATTTTTTCTTGTCCCCTAAGGTGAAAATTCACACTATTGACTGTCACGCCTGTACGCTTTGTCAAAATGACACAAAAATTGACACACACATGTATCTCAATAAGATCTACAAAAAAGTCAGTGCGGGCGTATCTGTCAAATGTACGGTTAAAGGGTTATTTTGCATTTTTTGCCGATCCGCACACATTGGAATTTCGCTAACTCCTCCGAAGGCTTTCGTTCCACCGGCACCACATTTGCTCAGGCCAATCTACACCCCATGGCCATTAAAAGTTATTCAAATCATGACGCTGCACCCCACGGTTTAGGTTCTAGGGGGCGCCAAAGATGACCCTAAAATCCACATTTTTAAAAGTCTTATAACTTTTTATTTTTGCCCTCACTGGCCTCCAAGTTTTCTAGGATGATGCAATGTCCAGCCATCAACACATTTGTGAAGGAATTTTTACTCCCCAAAAGAGCGCCCCCCCATGGCAGGAGAAAAAAGTCCATTTTTTCTTGTCCCCTAAGGTGAAAATACACATTGTTGAGTGTCACGCCTGTACGCTTTGTCAAAATGACACAAAAATTGACACACATATGTATCTCAATAAGATCTACAAAAAAGTCAATGCGCGCGTATCTGTCAAATGTACAGTTAAAGGGCTATTTTGCATTTTTTGCCGATTCGCACACATTGGAATGTGGCTAACTCCTCCTAAGGTTTTCGTCCCACTGACACCAAATTTGCTCAGGCCAATCTACACCCCATGGCCATTCAAAGTTGTAAAAATCATGACGCTGCACCCCACGGTTTACGTTCTAGGGGGCGCCAAAGATGACCCAAAAATCCACATTCTTAAAGGAATCCACATCCCCCCCCCCAAGGCAGGAGAAAAAGTCAAGTTAACCCTGCCCATCGCTCAATGGCTCAATCGCATCGCTCTCCAGGCAACACTGTAAGGAGGAGCAACCTGCCATTTCGATATATCATAGCTGTGTTTATGCCCTCACTCATGGTCCAGACTTTTTTCAAATAGGACATGAAGTTTGTCTGCAGCGAGTGTTTTGGTAGAAACTGCGCCTCCCATTCATTATAATGGGAAATGACCACAGACAAGTGCGCACACCATCTTTGGACCTTGAGTGTGACGCGATCGGGAGGGGGAGGCGGTCGCGCTGGGGGCGGCGCGACGCGGCTCGGGCCCGACAGTGCCCCACCGGGGCCCTAGTTATTTTTCTGCCCCTTTGAACTGGAAAATGGCCCACTTCCCACTGGTGAAAAGTCATGAAATTTGGCAGGACGACCGGGCCTGGTGAAAAATTCGATATTCTGAAGTCCCCCAAAAAATCAAATGCAAAATGGCTCCATAGCGCCCCCTAAGGTGAAAAATTCACATGATTGAGTGTCACGCCTGTACGCTTTGTCAAAATGACACAAAAATTGACACACACATGTATCTCAATAAGATCTACAAAAAAGTCAGTGCGGGCGTATCTGTCAAATGTACGGTTAAAGGGTTATTTCGCATTTTTTGCCGATCCGCACACATTGGAATTTCGCTAACTCCTCCGAAGGCTTTCGTTCCACCGGCACCACATTTGCTCAGGCCAATCTACACCCCATGGACATTAAAAGTTGTACAAATCATGACGCTGCACCCCACGGTTTACATTCTAGGGGGCGCCAAAGATTACCCAAAAATCCACAGTCTTAAAAGTCTTATAACTTTTTATTTTTGTCCTCACTGGCCTCCAAGTTCTCTAGGATGATGCAATGTCCAGCCATCAACACATTTGTGAAGGAATTTTTACTCGCCAAAAGAGCGCCCCCCATGGCAGGAGAAAAAAGTCCATTTTTTCTTGTCTCCTAAGGCGAAAATTCACACTATTGACTGTCACGCCTTTACGCTTTGTCATATTGACACAAAAATTGACACACACATGTATCTCAATAAGATCTACAAAAAAGTCAGTGCGGGCGTATCTGTCAAATGTACGGTTAAAGGGTTATTTCGCATTTTTTGCCGATCCGCACACATTGGAATTTCGCTAACTCCTCCGAAGGCTTTCGTTCCACCGGCACCACATTTGCTCAGGCCAATCTACACCCCATGGCCATTAAAAGTTGTACAAATCATGACGCTGCACCCCACGGTTTACGTTCTAGGGGGCGCCAAAGATAACCCAAAAATCCACAGTCTTAAAAGTCTTATAACTTTTTATTTTTGTCCTCACTGGCCTCCAAGTTCTCTAGGATGATGCAATGTCCAGCCATCAACACATTTGTGAAGGAATTTTTACTCGCGAAAAGAGCGCCCCCCCATGGCAGGAGAAAAAAGTCCATTTTTTCTTGTCTCCTAAGGCGAAAATACACATTGTTGACTGTCACGCCTTTACGCTTTGTCAAAATGACACAAAATTTGACACACACATGTATCTCAATAAGATCTACGAAAAAGTCAATGCGAGCGTATCTGTTCAATGTACGGTTAAAGGGCTATTTCGCATTTTTTGCTGATTCGCACACATTGGAATGTGGCTAACTCCTCCTAAATCTTTTGTCCCATCGGCTTCAAATTTGCTCAGGCCAGTCTACACCCCATGGCCATTCAAAGTTGTACAAATCATGACGCTGCACCCCACAGTTTACGTTCTAGGGGGCGCCAAAGAGGACCCAAATATCCACATTTTTAAAAGTCTTATAACTTTTTATTTTTGTCCTCACTGGCCTCCAAGTTTTCTAGGATGATGCAATGTCCAGCCATCAACACATTTGTGAAGGAATTTTTTCTCCCCAAAAGAGCGCCCCCCCATGGCAGGAGAAAAAGTCAAGTTTTTCCTGCCCATCGCTCAATGGATCAAACGCATCGCTCTCTCGGCAAAACCGAAAGGAGGAGCAACTTGCCATTTGGATATATACTAGCTGTGTTTGTGCCCTCACTCATGGTCCAGACTTTTTCAAAAAGGACATGGAGTTTGTCTGCAGCGAGCGTTTTGGTAGAAACTGCGCCTCCCATTCATTATAATGGTAAATGACCACAGACAAGTGCGCACACCATCTTTGGACCTTGAGTGTGACGCGATCGGGAGGGGTAGGCGGTCGCGCTGGGGGCGGCGCGACACGGCTCGGGCCCGCCAGTGCCCCAACGGGGCCCTAGTCATTACTGTTTCCTGTTCAATGTCAGGACCAGCAGGGGAAAAGTATGAGCACTGTTTGTCCAGTCCGCCATGACCCTCAGAGTCTCAATTTGAACCCGAGAGGCATCAGAGCTGCAGCAGATCACAGACTCTGCAATGGTGGGTACTTTTATATTCAAGATTTTCATCAGAAGTTCAGACTGTGCAGAATAATAAGTTTGAGGATTTCAGTCACATTAGTGCTTTATTGATTTGAATCACTAAAGGGCTGTCTGCTGTGGGCTAATGTCCTTTGGTGTCTCTTTGGTCAGTAGTGCAGAGATCAGCGGTAGCAGGAGGCGATTTTGTGGTTGAGAAGCTACTGCATGTAGGAGTGAAAAATTATTGTGTTATATCTCCAGGTGATGTATTCAGTCTTCTTGTTGCTGGCTCTGCTGGCTTTGTCCTTGGCCAGTCCTCCGGATGTCAGGAGCACCACTGAGCAATAAGACGGTAAACACAGTCTGGCTTCATGTGTTATGTTAGAACTAATTTATGTTGGTTGCGTGACATCCTGGTTAGCTGAAGCTCTTTAGAACCTCTGGCTGTCTCTGCACACTTTGATGAGCACCAATAAAATAGTCAATGACCTGAGCTCTTAAAAACCAAAAAAATAATTTCTTTGTATCTTTTAAACTTTTACCTCATGTTTACTCTTGTATCAAACTGCTTTTTTCTGCCTTTTCTTCTCCTTTCTCTTTCATAACCTCAGATCTACATGGAAGTCATAGAACAACCCTGAATGGATCGATGGAAACTGATAAAAAATTTCTGACTGTATCTAAGCTAAGGCAGAGGAGGCAGGTTCAGACAGCCTCCATCCAACCAATTGAGGGCTCCATCCTAGAGTGGTTGCCCTGGAACAACTCTCTCCCAAACGGTGTAGTTTCAGTCTACAATGAAGATGCTGGCCGCACTGAATATGTTTGCAAATACAAATGTTTCACTGGTCATTATAACCCCAACAATAAAAGTCCTAAGAAATATGCAGGTGCAGAGTTTGCGATCTTGGTGAACAGAGACAACTTTGAAACCTTGGAGTGGAAGGATGGTTCATATGGTTTAGCGCCAAATAATTCAGTCCGAGCCTGTTCAGGGGAGGACGTATATGTAGGAAGGAATGAACATGGACTCGGTAGAGTAGATATCCAGAAAAAGCTCCTCATTGTGTCCAAAAGAGGATCTCAGTATTTATGCAAAAAGTACCAAGTCTTGACTGTTAATGACAAAATAATCAGCCAGCAGATTGACAGTGTCAGGTACATCACTGATGAGTCAAAGATCTTCAACTTCCCTCCTGAGATTATACATAAAACAACCACCAGCAACTACGAATGTCATCCAGTGGAGAAAAAGAACGCCCTCTTCAAGTCCTATCAGGTGACTCAATGGTGGGACACTGATGTTTCTGCTAATATTGCCTTTAAGACATTCATCGTCCCCCTCATCACTTCCTTTGGTGTTGAGCTATTTTTCCAGTACTCCAAGGGAAACAGACAGACACCTTCACTGAAACCATCTCTATAGACATCACAGCTCCACCTTTACACTCCTGTTCTGTAAAGATGGTGCAACATAAGTACGAGGTCATCATCCCATTCAATGCACATCTCAGCCGCACCTTTAGCGATGGAGCAGTCCGAACAACATCCATTACTGGGACCTACAGAAGCATGCAGGTTGGAGAGGTCTGGGCTGTGGTGGATCGATGTGAACATTTGAGTGATTTCAAGATGTGAGTATGAAATTCAAAGATTAATGCTTTATGTCTGAGATATCATTATTCTACTGTGATTTTTCTGGAAGGTGATTGTGTCACAGTCGTGTAGTGGTTAGCACTGTCGCCTCACAGCAAGAAGGTCCTAGGTTCGAATACAGCTCAGGGCGTTTCTGTGTGGAGTTTGCATGTTCTCCCTGTGTCTGCGTGGATTAACTCCGGGTACTCCGGTTTCCTCCCACATCCCCAAAAAATGCCTAAGTGGGGTTAGGTTAATTGGCCACTTTCAAATTGCCCTTAGAAATGAATGTGATTGTGGATAGTTGTTCGTCTCTATGGGCTCTATTTTCGTGTAGGCTGGTGAGGCGGCGGAGGATGGCGGCGCCCGCACAGTTGTATTTTCGTCTGGCGGAGCCCGGCGTACAGCCAGTTTGGTATTTTCGTGGACTGAGGCGCACGGAGGCGAGCCAAGATCCGCCAAGCTGGGCGTGGTGGCGTGGCAGGAGGAGGTGTCGACAGAATCAGTGGGCGCAGTGACATTTTCCTGCACGCCAGTGGCGTGTAAAGTGCGCTGAAAGCTCGCCGATTACAACCTGGTCGGCTTTCAGCGCAGGTGGAGCGCAGCTGGTCTAGTGATATTTTGGTAGACCGGCGATGTATCGGCATACGTCACACATGCCTCACCGGCAGGTTTCCACAGTGTCAGGCACATTTTAGTGCAATAAATAATCAACAACTAATAATCTGAGTCAGCACATACATTTAGATCTATATAGATATATTCTGATCTATGTCTGATCTGATGAGCACGTTTGGCACGCGTTTGGACACACAACCTTACCGAATCAACACAGCTGAAACCGCATTACATTAAATTAAATATCTAGTAAATAAACACACATGATGAAGTTAACAAGATATGTGATTAGATATGTGATTCGTCGCCCTCCTTTTCTTTCTTCCTCTTCCACTTATTTCTCGCGCAGCTCGACCTGGACATGTCTCCGTGTCCTCTCTTCGTCCTGCAGCGGCTGAACAGATGATTTGTTTCAGTGCTCAGATGAGTAATTTACTTAAAGACACTCACATAAAGTTGCTCATATTCAAACCTCACGTGACAAAGGTGGGTTGAGCGCATAGATCACAACATAAACTCCAAAAATGTCATTAGAATCTGAACCATCTGTGCGTAAATGACGCATCGCGCTCCGTGGCCTGGCTCTTTCTTTCATAGATGTTGGCATATAAAATAAATTTGGCTCACAAAACTAAATATTATAATATCCGCATGTAGGCTTAATCTGTGGAAAAGGGTGTTTGTCTTACCAGTGGGTCCAACATTACACACACCAAATCCATCTGTGCTCATAGGAGAGAGTGTGGAGGATGCCCAATGCAGCGCTTACAGTGACACTTGTTGAGGATCTGCCTTCTGTCGCCATCTTGTAGCATTACTGTCTTCAGACATCTCTTGATCTCTTTGACTACTTACCGAAAATAGTAATACGCCTCGCCGGTGGCAGATTTAAAGGCAAGGAGAGGAGCTTATGTGATTGGTGAAAACAGGTTCCGGTTGTGTTAAACCCACTCCACGCCCTTTCTCCTCCCTCACTACGACTTATGCTGCTGGGAGGAGCTGAGTTAGGGAGGGGGGATACGCCGGGCTGCGCTGCTCACCAAAATACCAAATTGTGTTTGGGAACGCCTCGTCGGACCTGACTTACGCAGCACCTGCGGCACGTCTCCGGCTCGGCACGAAAATAGAGCCCACAGCCTTTATTATGTCTATGGTATGAACAGCCACTCGTGGGAAAAACATTCCTTATCTGAACAGGAAGGCTACAGGCTGCTTTCCTGCGCATGCTGCCACTCTCTGGTGAATTCAAGTACTGCACATTAAACTCGGACCAACTAAGATCCGAGATCAGGGGCTCTTGAGAAAACATCCGGGGCTTGAGCCCTAGTAGCCACCCCCTAGATCCGCCACTGAAGTAACATCCAAATTTGGTGCTCACCACAAGGTGTGTACGTAGACAGTTATGGTTTTTAGTTTGAAGTAAATATCGTGACCAAATATGCAAAGGAGAAGTTTGACGAAAACAGTATGGTGTGTCCTTGAGTCCAGTATAACTGGACCTGAGGCTGATGTGAGACTGTCATAGAGTAATATATCCTCTAAAGCAGGGGTCGGCAACCCGCGGCTCTGGAGCCGCATGCGGCTCTTTCTTCCCTAAGCTGCGGCTCCCAGTGGATTTGGAAAATAAATAATAAATACTTAATTGCATTTTATTTTATTTTATTATTATTATTTTTTGTAATTCTAAATTCAAAGATTATAATGCTCTTGTAACATTAAATAAACTATTAAGGCTGCAACAACGAATCGATTAAGTAGATTCGTCGTGACGAAAAAATCCGTTGCTAACAAATTCTGTTATCGATTCGTCGGGTCTTTATATATGTCCATGGACACCGGCGTGTAAACATCAGCAGGACGCACAGAAAAGAAACAGCCATGGCCGAGGCAGCGGCTGAGAAAAACATGGACACAACCCAACACAAATCCCGACCTAAAACATCAGTGGTGTGGGAAAACTTCACCAAGACTGAAAAGGAAGGCGTTCAGTGCAACATTTGCAAAGACCGTTTTGCATGGCTCGGGAGTACATCGATGATGCGTGAGCACAGGGCTCTCAAGTCTCACGCATTCAGCGTATGACACACGCATTCCCACTCGTTCACACGCTCACACACCACACATTGTATTTCTCACGCATTTAAATGAACACGGCGATGTCCACCAAGTTGCACTTCTTCAACTATGGAACAGGGGGAAATCAACCGAGTTCCTCCGAGAGTTCAGAAGCTGCGTGCCACGCACAAGCCAATCAAATAAAGTATATCTACTGAACAGCCAATCAAAAAGCAGCATTGCTGTATCTGGGTAGATTTTGATATCTTGCGGTTTAACTACAGAAGAAGACAGACACTCGCCGAAATAGTTCATTTATTTCATAAATGCAACTCGCTACAGTTTTTTATATACTTTGTATAAAAGGTAAAAAAAAAAAAAGATGCAATGTTATCTTCATTTTAGATGTCAAAGAGGTTTTGTGGCTCCCTGTGTTTTCTTTTCTGTGGGAAACTGGTCCAAGTGGCTCTTTGAGTGTTTAAGGTTGCCGACCCCTGCTCTAAAGCGAGCAGCTGAGGAGGGAAGCAGAAATTGAGAGAACCAGAGTGCTAATTGAGATCTACGGTGTAACATTCCTATTCTGTTAGTTTAATACTGATAAATTAAAATATGGCTGTGATGAATCCGCATACACTCCTCACAGATGTGTCACATAATGTTGAAGTATTGGGACGCTGTTAAAGGCCAATAAGGCCACAGAAAATATTTAAGTGGAATAACTATTTTGGTACCAGTAGTATTAATGAACCAACTCAGGATCTGACTGTCACAGTGATCCCCATTTTTTTTTGGGGGGGGGGGTATATGGATGTTCATGCATCACTAGCTGCAGAGCATTCAGAGTGACCTTACTTGCTTAATGAGTTAAGACAGGTAGTGATCCTTTTTAATTTACTTATTTTTCCAAAGTGAATTAAAGGTGAGCAGAGCAGTAAGTTTTCTGTGGTGCTGATGATTCAAGGATTTGAAGCATGTTTGGTTATCTACCAAACTTTGCTTTAAATATTGGCAAGTGATTTCTGCAGGATCTATTCCTGACAAGCTATGATAGCATTATAAGAACAGTTGCATTTACCAACATTGTAGCATTCCATAAAATAATGTGACGAAGCACAATACAAGACGGCTAGTCCACCCCTGGGGGGGGGTTGACGTTAACACATCAAGCCTTTAAGTTTTTTTGCATTTCCATTTCTTAACTAATGTACGAGACTTTACCATAAAACAGTGCACAGATTTGAGAAAATTGTCACATGACACATTTATTTTCAAGACTTTGCAAGTTCCAGTGAAGATCATGTCACAGCTGAAGAAACCTGTAATGAGAAGTCTCAGTTACAAAGTGAAGTTATTCATGCTATCATTTGAGCTTTAATTCCTTACCCTTCAAGCTGCACCATGTGATCTAGTGGGGGGCCTGAGCCTGGAACTGAGGAGCTTGGGCCTGCACCTGAGGCATCTGGGGCTGCAGCTTGGGCTGGTAGCTGGGGGCCTGAGGCTGGGCCTGAGGCATCTGGGGCTGGTAGCTGGGGGCCTGAGGCTGGACCAGAACCTTGGGCTGGCTGATAGACACCTGTGGCAGAGGCTTGGAGTAGCGGGGCACCAGATGGTGGGTTTGAACCAGAGGAAGGCTGTGGGGTACAACACTTTTCAGCACACTCTGGGGCTGGCTCTGGCTCTCAACCATGGGCTGGGGAAGGACGATCACCTGACGCTGAACCACAGGCCTGGGCTGGCGCAGGAGCACAGGCTGAGGGTGGTAGTAAGGCTCCTGGCGCTGAAACAGAGGCTGGGGTTTGCTCTGAACCACAGGCTGGGGCTGAACAAGGATCACCTGGTGCTTGACCACAGGCTGGGGCTGGCGCTGAACCAAGGGTACAGGATGGTAGTAGGGCTCCTGGCGCTGAAGTAGAGGCTGGGATTGGACCACCTGGGCCTGAGGCCGAGTCACGTACTGAAATACCTGGACCTGGGGCTGAGGTGCGGGCTCGTACTGAGTCACATACTGGCGGAACACAGGCCTGGGCAGGAAGGCAACCATGTGGGCCTTAGGCGGAGTCTTTGGTGCGACGCTGGGAGCCTTGGCTTTAGATACAGCTAAGGAGGAAGAACCATCTAGAGATTTTAGTTTGAACCCTCAAAAATCCATGGTACATGGTCAATATTTCTGTACTACTACATAAATGTGCAGGTTTAACATTTCGTACTCACATTTGAGTGCGTAAAGCTCTCCAACAAGCATCAGCCAGATCAACACCACTCTGAAAACACAACAACAAGCATGGCTCAGCAGTGATTTTAAACATCTTAAACACTAAAAGAAGAGTTCAAAGTTACCGTAGAGAACGTCCCATGTCTCCAGCCAGAGTTCTGATCCAACACAAACTGAGAAGCCGCAATCTTCTTTGGCTGACCCAACAGAAACCACAGAGGTGCAGTGTTTTAGAGGCTGCAGTACACCAGTTTTAAAGCGTTTGTCAGCCAATCACAGCGCTCTGTTCCTGACGAGCTGATTGTACACAGGTGGAGCTGATAGGGCTGAGTTCATCATAAAACACAGGTGCAGGTAATGTCTTAATTGAAACTCTGTCAGCTTTGCAGCTCTGCACAATCTTATTGATTCTGATGGATATGACTGTATAATAATTTCAGCCTCTGGACACTAAACAGTTCATTGAGGTTATTGTAAATGTCTGTTTATTAAAACATTTTCAGGTGTATCAACAGACACACTTTATGTGTTAGTATGTTTATTTTACTTCATATAAGCACACTTTTATTTGAGTCTGCTTCTCTGTGGAATAAAACACAGTCATAGACTAAAATCACCGTCTGGTACTTTACTGAGAAATAAAATCCTTTGCTGCTCTGTTTGGCGATCAGGGAGGAATTTTTAGAGCTATATGTTGGAACTTTCCATTAAGATTCAACATGTTTTGGAAACCATGAATGCAGCACTCTCAGCTCAAAAGAATAGAGGGACCATCTGCATTAAAAATTAAAGTATATGAATCCTCAGGCTTGTCTCTGATGGTTGTGTTTGCTTTTGGGTATGATAAAAAAGTAGGGGAGACCGGGGCTTGTTGTTACATTTTTTACACTCTCATATATTTCTTGGAATCAATATACCATATATAAACAAAATGTGTACCAGATGAAAGACCAAGGTCTCGGGTAAATATTTTCATGTTCATGTCTTTTTATGTCTTGTGTCAGTGCAGAGTTATAAGCAGTCAAATAGAGAGTGGGAACATATGACATGTTGCCCCAGGTAAGTTGTCTCACTACATGGGTTAAGATGTCACAGTCGATTTTGCAGCTAATAAAACGAGGACAAAATTATTGTTGTTCTCATTTTTCTTACCTGAAAGTGAACATCAAAGTCAGGCACAGAAAATGTTCATCATTGAGCAACAAAAAGTCACTGAACAAAGTCATTGAACAAACGTTACATAAAATATTAAGCAACATGCACTGGAGTTTGGAGAGCTGTCAGACTCCGTGTTTCGGCTGGGGTGAATATTTTGCAGTACAGAGCTAAGGTATGGTAGTTGACATATAAGTCCTTCATTGTACTCCAGATTGATTTATTAGCTATGGACACCTGCCCAAACTAACTAACCCCAAAATGACTGAGACATGTTGCCCCAAACTACCATGTTTGCTAATTAGAGCTCTATCTTAAAGTTGGCTTAAAACAGAACAATGAACAAGGTTTGACAGGATGCCTTAATCTCTCCTCTAACAAGTCCACATGTATCACTGCTAGGATTTTTATCTGGAAGAAGCTTATTTTAAAATATATAAAGTTCATTTATTTTTACTTTGGGTTGTGTGAAATGGTTAACCGGCGCTCATCTCAGTTCACAATGTGCTCTTCGCTTCTCATACAGGACACAACCCCTGATCATGTAAAGGAAGAAAACTAGTATTCCACTCTTATCTGTGCCCTCTGGTGGCAAAGATAATTACAATGTGACAACTTAATCATGTGACAACAAGCCTCAGTCTTCCCTATTCATTTGCGTTTCATCAACATCAAAAAACTCCTAGGTAAGTCAGTTTTTTTTTTTCAGCAATAGAAATGCAAGCTATTTCATATTTTCTTTTTCTTTTCCTCACATGCAGTAATTCAAGACTTATCAGATCTTTATACAAATGTTTCTGATTTTTCACATTTCTTTTATTGAATAAATTTTAAAAACCTCCCTCGTCTTCACAGTGATCCACAACAGAGTGAATACCTTCAACATTAATGCTGCTGAATGTCCGGTGATGGATGCCACTGTGGTCCTCCTGTCTCTGTATGTGCGTCTAAGGAGGGCTGTGAAGGGGATGTCTGCCTCATACCTGCGTCCCACCATGCTGACCCTGCAGGAGTGGTTTGGAGGAACGGTGTGGCGGACAGAGACAGAGTAGGTGGTGGACTTTATGATTCTGGTTCCTGAGGTTAACTGTTTTTTTTTGTCTGCTTACTGAGAGAGATACCAAAAGAGGTGGCTGATGGAATGTGGGCAGTGATGCTGCTGCTGATCCCTGACTTGGTGGCAGTGCTGGTGTCCCACCTTTTCTCCTCCTAATAGGTTCTTGAGAGGTTGAATGTTTTTTCTACAGGGCGACACCTGTTGTTGGTGATGGTAGACTGGCGCATGTTCTCTGGAGGGTGCTCAGTGACTCTAACTTTCGTGTTATATCTAATGTTGTACATGTGCTCATTGTAGAAGTCTCTGTTTATGGTGAGGATTTGATATTTCTTGTACCAGTACTTACGCCCCTCCCAGGGCAGAAAGACGGCTTTATGTCTGACATGCACCTTCTCAAGACCATACTTAGTCCTTTCTACACACATGTCCTCTACAATGCAGGTCTTGATTGAATGCATAGACTGTATATAGAATGGACAGAGTCTGCCTCCTCGTTGGGTGAAGCCACCCCGAGAACAGCACCCTCTGTTGATGGGTTACAGTATAGGTCATAAATCCCGCCTCCGCCAGCAAAGCTTATGGGGCTGTGGACAAACTTAAGAGATTTATCACACATAACATAAATTTTTCTCCCCCCTGCTTGTGATGTTGACATGTAGTTACAGTAAGACTGGTTTGTGCTCAAGTCCTCTTTTTTCTGTGAAGCTCCATTTTTAAAAGTTATTAGGTGGTTCATGTTTGCTATGATTGACACCTGATACAGCCTATAGGCATTCAGGGATTTCTGAGCTCTCCCGGGGGATACGCTGTTTGAGCCGAGCGTCATCACAGTGACTCTCGGCGACTGCGCGGCCAAATGTGTGCATCGCTACTGCACTGCGCTGGTTTTAGGAAATGAAGAAAAATCCCGGAAATACCGAGAGCTTTTTGGCTTCAAAACCGTATACAGGCGGTAGGTGGAACCAAGTTGTCCATAGTATATACAGTCTAGGATTGAATGCTGTGGCACACTACCCCAGGACTAGTGGTGGGCAAAACCATTCATTTCAGTGAACCAGATCATTCCGGTTCGCTCAGTAAAAAGATCCATTCATTTCGGTCAATTGGTCGTTAGTCAATCCGTTCGCTCATGAACGAATGTGAAAATGAAGGTTAAAAATTATGAAGAGGGTCTTGGTCATAATAGGCGGTGGCACAATTTACTGTAACAGAAAAATCAGCCACAAGAATAAATGTCCAATAAACTCGTATAGAAAAATAAAGTATATAATAAATAACATTGGATGTTCTATTTTCAAGTCAATATGAAAGTAGGGCAACTTGCCTTAGAGTCAAAACCCAGGGCGAAATAGTCCAAAGGTAGTGTCTGTATAACTTGTTGATACACGTTAGCACCTTGAGTGTGATTTAGCTAAAGGTTTCAATAAATACCAGGATTGATGACACTACAGGTTTAGCAGAATTTACAAGGTCGTGTTCTTGGTAAGTAAAAGATTTGAACCAGCTTCTGTTCACCTTCCTCAGTCTGTGGGCTCTTCTTCTCAGCCTCCCTCAGACCAGCTGAACTCAGAGCCAGCAGAGTCCACAGCAACAACACAGACAGCTTCATCTGAAACACATTAAACATCTATTTATACTCAAAATCAGGAAAAAGTGATACTGAGCTTACCTCTGCAGTCCTGTTTATTTAGCCCTGTGCCCTGCCGTCTCTGCTTTTTTTCCCTCAATCATGAAACTGAAAGTTTGGTTTAGATATTGCTCCGACCTGGATTCATTCATGGAGTCACGAGCAGGTGTTCAAAGTTCACTACATGAGAGGCTGTTATTCATATGAGTGTCTTTATCAGATGTCATTTATCACTGTTTACTTCTGCAGCAAGGTGAGACAGCCTACCTCAAGGTTCAGTCCACCTGGAAGAATAGCCCACCTTAAGTAGGTGTTTTTCAACAGCAGCTACAGTTAATTTAGATACCTTAAATAAAGGTAAGATGGACTCTTAGCCTGCACAGACTTAATTTCAGCTTTGTGGAGACTGAACTACAGGTATTTGATTGGTTGTGTCTTTAGTTTGCAGATTTCTGTGATTTATTTTATGGATTTCCCTGACTGTTTTTAGGTCAGACTTGAATCCGGCTTCCAGCACACTCCAGCACACACTTGTTTGTTGTTTTGTGACCTAAATGCATTAAAAAGCTTACCCTTTTTGACATTAGCAGTCAGCCTTAATTAGTGAAATGAAAACTTTAAATTAAATGAACTCAAAGTCAGAGGAACAGCCCCCCCACTCTGAAAGTTTTTCACGCTTTAGGTTATTTTTTGGTTGATATTGAAAAGTTTTAAAGCTAGGACTCTGTAGTCAATACATGGGCTCAAAATCCCCTCCAAAAACCACTGTCTAAGAAAGCAGACCACCTCCCTAAAAGTAGAGAGATAATAAAAAAAAAAAAAAAAAAATGTTTCTGGTGCCGCCTCGACCCTGCCATGGCCCTGTTTGGTTAGCAAGACGGTGAACGTTTGTTTCTTGAATGAATGACGAAGCTTTATTTTTGCACAATTATTGACAATACAAACTACCAGCAACATAAGGATTATTTAATGTCTTACAAAAAGCTAAAAAAAGACATGACACCTGATGGGATCACTTTCTATAGTCAGTAAAAAGGTATTGTGTTAGGTAAAGGTCAACAGTGATTTGCTGAGGTCCTGCCGAGGTGCAGATGTCTGAGACCTGCCATGCATATTTTTGTAGAGGATTTACATTATTTACTATTTACTTTAAGATTTGTGGAACCCATAGGACATTTGTGCTGTGAACACACACTTTAGTTAAAAGTCAGAACCTGATAGTGTCTATACACAAACTCATGACCATTTCGAGGAACGAAGCAGGCCTTATTCGCAGCCCGCACCATCCCCAGACCATAGCTGACCCTTCCAACAAAAAGACCCATCTCGTTGCATGTCCTAACTGAATTCTTGGGCACCAAACCAAACGAGCCATTCTTCCAATTCACAGCACCTCTTCTCACCAGGATCTGAAACGGGGAGCCGAGACGCTCTCTGCCACTGTAGGGGTAGTGACACTGATGCCCCAGTTTGGGGTTATAGAAACCTGCCAAGCAGCGGTATCTGCACACATAGTCAGTACCCCTGGTGGGGTTGTAAATGAACACAGCGCTGGAGGGAACAGACCCGGACATGGTCACCCATACTGGAGCAAGGCTTTGATGGCGGGTCAAGGTGGATTTACTGGTTCTGTTCCTCTGAAGGTCAGCAGGTGTTAGAGGAGGCAAGACCGACCTGTTAGGGGTGGTTTCAGGACTCCTGTCCTCCAAAGTGACTGCGCAGGGAGACAGGATAAAAACAGAGGCCATCATCACAAATGTCATGTTTCATCATCAGCTGTGTGTTGTCTGCTTACTGTAAAGTTACACTTTTTATTTGCTGCCAGTGCTCCTCCTGTTCTCATGTCCTGTTTCCTACAGAAAGATGCTCATGAAAGCAGATAAAGATATTAAAATGCATCATCATGTATGTATAATGAAATGTCTTCATTGATCGGGTCAGTATTTTGAGTGCTTTTGTCTTTCTTTCTTTTTGACTTCTTTTTTCACTTCTCCCTCACTTGTTAATGATTTTGAAATGATATAAAACTGAGATTCCAGGAGGGGACACTGAGCCACCTCTTATTTCTGATTAAACGTGGACAAAGTTGGTCATGCAATTGCTCATTTTTAAAGATTTTTACCACGAGGTGCGGAGAAAAAAAAAAATTTTTGTTGCAGTTCCAAACCTGTGCAAAACTTTTGAGATATTTCAAAGACTTTTTATGGGATGTGCCCCAAACCAAGTTTATGAGCCTCAAAATCAAACTTTCATGGCTCTGACATTTCAGCCTTATGGTCAGCACTGCCTGCATATAAGTTTATGTTTTAGTTCAAGAAGATGGTTTAATAAGTTTAAGTCTGATGACCTCGAATAATTAGTTTTAGATTTTAAAAGTGCATCTTTAGATGCATCTCATCATGAGATTGATTAAAAAAAGTGATACCCACAAGTTGTAATTTTTTATTAGGGACCAAGCCTGACCTATTTTCAACAGGAAGCTTACCATTTGCCCTTCAAAGTAAAAAGATAATGTAGGTTCGAACATTCATAATCACTGAGTTCAGCCATTAAAACCAAAGTCTTGATTTAATTGAAATAAGAGCTATGTAATCCGACCTGTGTAACAAGTGTAACACCTCAAAATTAGGATTGATCTCAAAAGATTCAATTCAATAGACTGCTGGTATTTACTCTAAATGTCATTTTAAAACATCACATTTTGCTCTTTATAGCAAAAAAACATTTTAACTAACATACAAATGTGGCAGGTCATTTTATTAATGTAATTGTTATTATTTTGGCCTCACAACGAGTAGCAGAGAGTTATGTTCATGTGGACCGGGGGATGCACTGCATGAAGATTTATACTTGCTGTGAGCCTGATGCTAAGGGGCATCATCACTGAGGAAATCCTTGTGCTTACGGCTCTTGGCAATCATGCTACCTACTCCTAGGGGGTGACATATGCTTTGAATCTCCCGAATTTTTAATGTTTAAGGAGTCATGGTTCTTGAATCTGAAAAATTTAAGACAAGTTAAAAAACTTCCCTTGTGTGTTGGTGCTTTACCGTTAGATAACACAGATTTGTCATAACATCTGGGATGGGGCAGGTTGAACAGCTCAGCTTTGGGAGAGCTGGCTACACCTGATTGGCTGTTTAATCACAGATAAATGTGGGCAGTCATTATGACCACCTGTTTCCAAAGTAGGTCAACATGATCATATCTTTTTTTCCTTTTGTGCAGGTTATAAAAACAAGATTAGTTGTATGAGCTTGAATTATGTTACAGTTTGGAAATTGACTTTCTTAAGAAAACTGGGAGCTTAAGTTTTTAACCGTGTCTTTAGATAAAACCTTCAAGATGCCCTGGATTAGTCTTGCTTTGACAGAGCAGTATATGAGGTTAGAATGTTCAGTTTTAATTTTACATGATGAGTAGAGAAATTTCTACCCTCTCCTTTGGCTCAACTCATTTCTCATAATTGGTAAGTTGATTCAAGAGACAGCTTGTTTTCAAAGAGTTATAAACATATGTAAAATTGATCAAAGGACTTAAAAAATTATTCCCACGCATGCACCACATGTGAAGGTGGAGTGTGTGGTAGGGGCCTCAGTGGTGATCCACAGGTGATCTTGCACCGATAAAATGGCATTGTGATCCATTTAGGCCAGAGCTTTTACCAAACATGCACATTTGGAGAGTGTTGGACATTTTTCATGGTGGTTATTGGACTACTGTCCACAAGGTGGTACTCTGACCGTAGTTAGCAGGTAGAGTGAACAGTCTGTACAGGTCAGCCTAATAAAACACTCTGTATACCTCATTTTTGCTTTCATTCAGGGATATTTTACAGACAATCTGAACACAACTGATAGAAATGGTGTCAGAGCATCAGTAGCAGCTCCAGGCTTCAGAGGGGAAAGGAATCTGTTTACCTTCTTCAGACTGGGGGATCTTCTCCTTTAGACTTGCTGAACTCAGAGTCAGCAGAGAGGACAGCAGCAACACAAAGACCTCCATCTGAAAAACAGTGAACGTGGATTTATGCAGACACACATGCACTTTAAAATCAGGAGAAATATCTGTGAAATTAAAATGGTCTTACCTTTGCAGACCCGTCTTGTCAGTCCACGTTCTTTCTTCCCCGGATTTATATAGCCTAGTTCTGTCACTACTTTATTGTTCCATCATAAAACTAAAGGTTTTGATCATAAAAAGGCTATAGCTCTGACCTGAATTCATTTAATGAGTCAATAGATGGGAGGTATTTTTGATTTGTCTGAACGTCTTTATCACACACTGTCAATTATTGTTTGCTCTAAACCTTGCGGTTTTCATCAGGTTAAAGGTAAACTTTATCAATTTTGTTTTTCAAAGTAAAATTATTCCAGGAGGGTAACTGGTCTATTTTAATAAATAAACATACTGTAAGTTTAACTTTCCCAGATTTTAGCTGGTGAAAAAAGGAACCTCATCCTGCTGCATTGGAAAAGTCATTTTTATGATATAGGTTTGATATTTTCTCATAAAGAGAGAGGGACAGCGGTTTGTGGTATAAGAAGACAGTCGCCTCATTCATTATTGTTCCTGCACATGTCTGAAATCAAGGCCGTCAGATTGAGACCAATCCAAAAACCATCAGACTGAAACTGAAAGTGTGGTAGGTGACCTCCTGCACTTTTTACAATCTAAAATAAACTGGTTGAGAGAAATATGCCAAAGCTAGACCTTGAAAGGCTTGTACACCCTTGTATGTCCGACAGACTGAATTACAGGCTGTTCAGAGGACAAAGGATTTTAAATTATGTTTTTTCAGTGTCCAAGCACAGCAACGACTAATCCATAACATTTTTTCCACACTGTTCATGCTCTTTGGTTTTATATTTGTTTGCTGTAATTGTTGAAAGCTGCATTTAAATTTATGAACAGCATTACACAAATTTATCAACACATCATTCCTCAGAGCTACTCAGACTGAAATACACATGCTTTTTCAAAGGTCATACACACAAAGTAAATTCCCCTAACTCCTCTCTCTAATAGCAAACACCTTTTGGATGTTTCCAGGTGAACCCTTATTGAGCTCTTTGCCCAAACTGAACTCCAAATTTCACAAAGTCCATAAATTTCAACATATCAGATTTCAAGCATAAAGGTTTGGGATGCTTCCAAACTCAGCATCATTTATTATCTCTACAGCTCTTTTTCTGCAGCACGCAGATCTTTGGTAGTTTGTTTTCATGCTTATTCTCAAAGCTTCAACACAACAGGACAGATGAGGTCAAATGAGAGACCACTCCTAAGTGCGCAAAGCTATTTTATTTATGCTATTGCCCATGACATTTCTGTTTCCCACAAAAAAAAGGTGTGTTTTTTTTTAAACCTGGCATCAGTGTAAATGGGGGAAGATCAAAATAAAGGTTTGAATGTACAGTATTTAATATTTTTGGTTCTATAATTTACATTTGAAGCCAGCAGAGGGCAGCAGTACACTGACAGAGAAATAAAGGTTCATGTTTTTTTCTTCTTATTTAGATTAAAAAAATTTTTCCACTCAGAATAGAAAATTACTTTTTTGAGAAATAAACAGTACTAATTATTCAAAAACAATAAAAAAAAAAACCCAAACCAATTCACCAAAATTAATCAGGACTCTATGCACATTTAAGCTGCAGGCAATCTGGTAGTTATTGATTTGTCAAAACCTTGAAGTGCTAAATCACATGATACTATTAACTACTGAGTATTAGATTAAATGGTTTGACTTCATGTTACCCAGAGTGCAGTTATGAGTCAGTCATGTTGCAGGTAGCAGACTTAGAGTTTGTTGTTGTGGACTTATCTGGCAGTTTCTCTGCAGCTCTCTCAGCACTTAACCGCGGATAAATAAAACATTGACTCCATTTGTCTCTCCATCTATCTATCTATATCTCTATCTACCTCACCACACACAACACAGATGCTCCTTTATAACATGTCACTGCTCTGCCTCTCTGCGTTTTAGTCACGCATTGGTTAGTGACAAAATATGAAGAAAAATGGTTGCACATTAATTACTATCACACATTCAAGAGAGCAAGATACACAAAAAGACTGTTGACCATACTTGAATAGGAGAGGGTGAAAAAAAAGACAGAAGGAACAATAACACAAGAATTCTCTTTATTGATTTAATTTTTGGCATTTTAAGATGTTTTTATGCTCCATCTTCTCTGCACCTAACACTGAGGTCAGACCACACAACAGTCACTGTGTCAGATTAGCCAAAACATTTGTATAGAAGAAAATAGAAATTAGAATAGAATAGAATAGAAAATAGAAGCTTGATTCCACCAGTTTAAGATATGGAAAGTAAAAAACAAAAAAGTATAGTCATATGTTATGAGATACTAAGTCATGAAAAAGAGCTAATATCTCATTATTATGAGATACAAAGTCATATTTATGGGACAGTATCTCATAATTATGACTTAGCATCTCATTATTATGAGATAGTATCAATATTTCCTATTTATGACTTAGTATCTCATGATTAGAACTAAGCATCTCAATTATGAGACAGTACCTCCTAATTATGACTAAGTATCTCATAGTTATGACCCAGCATCTCATAATTATAAAATCGTAGGGTAGCACTTTACAATAACCACAATTTATAAATGGTAAATAGATAGTTCATTAATGTTTAATCATCATTTAAAAATAGCATATAGACCAATTATAAATGGCAAATAGATAGTTTATTAATGTAAAGTCTAAGAAGTTAATAAGTTACTAGTTAATAGTTACTTTACCATTAACAAGCAATGAAATTATGATTAATAATTTTCATTAATTAATAATGGACTAGTTTTTAAAGGTTTATATAGGGTTTAAATATTGGTTGTAAAACATCTAGATTTAAATGTCTGTCAGTAGCACTTTGTAAATGGTTAATATTTGGTTTTCATTACTAACACATAACATTACTTAGATGGTTATTGTAAAGTTGCAACTAATGTTTGTAATACTTTGTAGATGATTAATTAGTGGTTTATAAACCATCTATAAACTTTACGTAGGTGGTTATTGTAAAGTTAGGGTTAGGTTTTAAAATTGTCAAATTTACAATTAATTCATGGTCTATATGCTATTCATAAATGATGATTAAACATTAAAAACTATTTGCTTGGCATTTATAAATGGTCTATTTACCATTTATGAGTTATGGTTATTGTAAAGTGTTACCGATAGTATTTCATTATTATTAGTTAATATTTTATAATTATGATTTAGCATTTTATAATTATAATTTAGCATTTCATAATTATGAGATAGTATCTTAATTATGACTTAGTATCTCATAATCATACATTATTTCATACATTTGCGCTGTGCCATATCTAAGGAGTTTTTAAAACAGGCTGATACTACATATCCTTTTTTTATTAATGGTAAGTCAACACTTGAAAATTTCGTTTTTTTCTTTTTATCTTGTGATATTTTTGGTGGGACTGTCGGCTTTGCTGTAGCCTTAAAAAAACATGTTGCAGCAGTTTTTTTTTGCTTGTGCAGATGTCATGTTAGCGTCGTATTTCCAGCAAAGTTGCACTGACTGGCAGGAAAACAGAAGACTCGCTGTTCTGTTTGAAAACCTAGGAAAGGTCAGTGTTTAGATGATATAGTTCAACATTCAGTCAATAAGAGCAAAGCAGGGCAGGATCAGATGGTAGTCATGAGTAAAAATTGCTTTTTTTTAATTTTTAACCTTGAACTGGTGTCTCTCTTGCTTCTTAAGTCTGCCTCCGTATGACACTTTGAGTACTGCAGCTTGTTGCACTTCTACACTAGCTTCCTCTCTATTTTTTTAATGCTGCAGACTTTGTTTGATGTAAGCCTTTGTTGCAGAGGCAGGCTGCAGATTTTGCAGACTTGTGTGACGGTGTGTCCCACAGAAGGTCACAGAGACTGACTGGCGTGGGTTTCATGCGAGCCTGCACTTTGCTGCGTCCTTGGTGCTCTTGTCAGGCTTCATTTTGGCTGAGTGAGCTGTTCTGATGGCCTGACTCGGATAGAAGGCCGCCTGTGCTCAGGGTGACAGCGATCAGGCAAACAGCTCATTAAAGGCAGCTGAACTACCGGGCCATGTCTGTTTTAATGAGATACTGACAGAAACAAGGAGTTTAATGCCTGAAGTCAGTGAAGTCAGTGATCTCTGAACTGAGCTATCGTCTGTAAGTCACTCACTCGCATTAACAGACAGGAACTATGAAAGTCTGTATTTGAGCTCTAACCTTAACAGCATTTTAACTCTTTTTATTGAACTTTAAAAATCCTCAAAGTAGTCAAGTCAAATTAGATAATCCTAGCTTTGAAAATGTTGTGCACTGGTTTAAAGTCATTGAAGGTTTGGCTGTAAGTTAATTGCTGATTTATGAATATCCCATGAATAATGAATGAATGAATGAATGTTTTTTTTTTCTTTTACTCATTCACTTTTTCTTTTTTCTTTTTCTGTTGACTTTTTTTTTCTTTTTTCAAGTTTTCTTTTTGGTTCATTATTTGAATGATTATTCACTGTGTATTTGATTAAAACTTTGTCACTATATATTGATTTTTTTGCAGCTTTCTTTGTTGTTTTGAATTTATTTCATTTTTACTTTTTATTTTGTTTAAAAAAATAATTTTCATATTCATTTTTTATACTTTCCTTACTTCTGAATTATTTATTTTTAATTATTATCATTTACTTTTCCCTTTATGATTGGCATCATACTTTTTTGTCAGCTCATACCTTTTTTCCTAAGTATCTCCAATAATCCTTTTTTATCTTCATTAATTAATGTTCTCAGTAGAGTTGTTTTTTTTAACATTTTTTAAAATTTTGGTTCTTATTTAATCTCTTTTGGTCGGTACGTTAGTTTTTTCTTTAACTTTCTTTTTACTGCATTCATTTTTGTTTACTTGCCCTTCTTTATTTACGTTTAATTTTTGTTTACTTCTCACACTTGCTGTTTTTGTGTGCACTTTTTAATTTTTAA